GGAAGGCTGAGGCGGAAGGATCACTGGAGCCCAGCAGGTCGAGGCTGCAGTGGCCGGGAGTGGCCACTGCACTCCAGTCTGGGCGACAGAGTGAGACTCCAACTCAAAAAAAAAAAAAAGTTAGCTATTTTCTCAAATTCAGGCCATCTAAAATCAATTTCAATCAGGATTCAACAAAGATCTACTGACCATCTATTGCAAACAAGAGTATTGTACCTGGCGGGGGTGGGGGATACTGCAGGTAATGAAATAATTGAAAGTCATGGTTTTCATGTTTCCTTTATGTGAAGGAGCTAAAGACCTGTGCACAATTAAGTATAACCTAATGACATAGTTGATAAGATGGCAAGTACCTAGTGATACAGGAATTCAAAAACAGACGAAGGAAAACAAGTAAAATGAGGGACAGCGGCCCCAAGCAAAGGAGCTGAACGAAGACAGGCATCTAAGTATGAAAATGCAATCAGTGTTGTGCTCAGTATGACTAAACCAGGGGTCAGCACACTTTCTGTAGCCAAAAGGTAAATTTTAAAGTTTGTGGACCATGGGTCTACAGACTGTTGTAATACAAAAGCAGTCATAGACAATACCTAAGCAAATAAATTTGGTTGCGCTTCAATAAAACTTTATTTATGGACATTGAAATTTAAATTTCATTTAATTTTCACATGTCAAAAAATGTGGTTTGATTTTGCTAACAATTTAAAATTGTAAAAATCATTCTTAGTTTGTGGGGTACACCAAAAGAGGCAGCAATTGCTAACTCCTACACTAAACCACGGGGTATACTGAAAATTGTACCATAAGAAGAGACAGACGGGACCAAATTTAAAATGCTTATTTCGCTGTGATACATGCAATGATATTTATCATTACATAGCTAGGATAATATATATACATATATATAAATAAAATAGTTAATGGCATTAAAATATGCTCATGAACTATGAAAGAAAAACAAGCAGCTTACAAAAATAGATCATAAAATCCTTCCCAAAGTTCAAAATACATACATACAAGCTAAACTACTGACATTCAATAACCTGGGTATTGGAACTATTAATAAATTTTATTTTCTTCATTTTGCTTAACTGTATCTTCTAGAAGAAGCATGTATTAATGTTTTCCTTCTCTTTCTTATTAGCTGTTAATGGATTTTGATGAAGAAGAAACATAATCAGTGCATATCTTAAAATAATTCTATCATTACCATAGAATAAGTGATGGATAATAAAGGATAATGACTTAGGTATGGAACTCAGGAGAAGGGTCAGGATTTGATATGTATATTTGGGACTGAGAAGTAATTTTAAAAAGGTGTAAGAGTACCCTGTTACAAAATCCAGGGTATAAAGTTTCAAAGATGGACTCCTCAGCTAAAAAGCCAAAAAGGTCTCTTGAAGAGTACTCTGTATTTGGTCACTGGGTGGTCACTAGAGACCAAGAATAGATCAAAAGCATATCTGTTTCTTTTTCCTTCCTGTGCAATACATGAACAGGTATCAAATAATGACTTGCTGGTTGTTTTGATTTTTACTTATCTTGAATCAACTACTCCTTCTGTTTCCAGTGTTTTGAAAAACCAGAATATACATTTGTTCTTGCATGAATGAATGCTGTCCAACTGAAAGCTGGTTACATTGTCTACTGAGATCTTCAGCTGGACAGTTGTCCTATACACTGCTTTACTTCCTATGTCAAACTGGGAAGGGAGGTAGGGAGACCTGATGGTTACATAATGGCACTGTGTCTCACTTATCTGGCTAAGGGGCAGCTGCTCAGAGTTCATTTTGGTACACACCTCCCCCAAAAAATGCAGAAGAAAAAGAAAGGCCTGATGTCTTCACTAAGGAGATAGGCTGGTGATAGAATTTTCATTCCTGCTCTATTGGCCTTGTGCTTAGTGCATTCTTCTTAAAATTCTTCTTAACCTTTACTCAATATTCTTAAATGTTTTCTGAGAATACCAGGGAGAAGCACCTTGTGGTTGTTAACTAGATCTCTTTAGCCAAAAGTCCTAGGACTCTCTTTCTCTCTTCTTGGTAAAGAATGCTACTTATTTCAGAAAAGTCTTCAAGTCTGAAACAAATGGTTTTCTAAAAAGGTCTATAGAAATTCAGGGTTTCGTTAAGAGTAGGAAAGAGATCTTCAGGGTTGGAAGTCTTTTTATATCTATAATTTCATGGGGTAACAGCTATCAAGTCTCCTAGTGCTGAGGCCAGTTCTCTACACAGCCTGCACGGAGAGGCACACTTTGGTGTTGATGACATGGCTGGTAATAATTAGAAATGCCAGAAATATGGGCAGTAGGTCGGGGCAGGATAAAAGAACAATAGAGCTAGTAGGTGGGATAAGGAACAGATGAAGAACAAATAACTCTTTTGGACCACAGGAGTTTCCCACTCCTCCTGCTTTTGCTGAATGTGTGGAATTTCTGCTAGAATAAGGAAGATGCATGTCCATAATGAAATAATACTTTAGAGCTACCTTTGATGTATATATTGCTTTAGACCTGTGTTCCCTGGGTTTGATGGGGTGGCGTGTACAGCCAAGAATTAGAAAAAAAAAAAAACGGATTCTAAATTTTCTACAAAAACTACTTACAACTTATATAACAGTTCCTAGTATATATTTCTTAAATTATCAGATGCTGACTTTACAAAGTTTTTAGTATGTTAACAATTTGGAAGAATAGTATTTTTTTTATTAATCTTGGATATTAGAGTTTATATTATTTGTTAATAGGAAAAAGGATTTGATTACATATACCCTAGGTTGAATTAAATATATGTTGGTAGATTGTTCTAGTTTTGCTTTTCGTCCCTACGTCATAACAAAGTAAAGAAAATGAAATTACATTTTGTTTGGGGTAGAAGAAATGTGTATGTATGAGTACAATCATTTTTTAAAAATAAACTGTCAAATGATTAACTCCACAGGTCAAACTCTACTGATAGAAATGTGTATCTGAGGACTTGTTCCTGTAGCAACTAAGTATAACAACCTAAGATTGGAATATGGGATATCACAGTTAAGAGTTGTGTCACATTTGTAAAACAATAGTTTGCTGTAACTTGTCTTATTTATGATATAAATATTATGGTCTTTATTTGAAAAATGAGGAAAACTGAGGTTCAGAGAAGATTAAAAGACTTGCCTGCGGTTATAGAGTTTTTAAGTGCCATGGTCCAAATCACATCTTCTCACTCAAAGTCCAGATCACTTTCCAATACACCACAATGAAATACAACAATATGGAAAAAATAATCCTTAAGATTCAATTTCCATTTGTACAATATTATTACAAGATTTAGTACCACATTCTTTATCTATATATAATAGGGGACAGACAATGGTGCCTTTATAAAACTCCACCTTTTCTCTGAATCATCTCTAAATCTTTGGAACTTTCTAATTTATTCTGTAAAGCTGAAACTCAGCCTGAGAAAGGCAATACCAGTGAAATTCTTGTCAAAAGTATGTGCTGTAAGCTGATCACACACCATTTATATATATTTTTTCTATTTGTACAGTATAATACTGTGTTTTTATTTTCCCTAGAGATGAAAAATGTACATTTAAGATGTATAAATGGATGTGATACTACTATACACACATCCTGGTATTTTTTTTTGTCTTGTGCTTGTTTACCATCACACTTTTCTAAAATTTACATGAATGCCTTACATTTCAGCTGTTATTATGTACTTTACCTTATTGAATGTCATTCCACTTTTCTGTCATTATTCATCATCTCTCAGAATAACCAAGGGCATTATGAACTACAAACTTCTTTTTAAGACAACGAAAGACTTTCTCTGTCCACTGTAAGCTTAATTTACTTTCTGTTTTTTACATGATGTAGGCCACCTCAATCAATTTGGGTTGCAATAGCTATCTTTAGAGCTCAGGTTTCAGGAATAACTATCTTTCCACACATGCCTTTAGTTGTGTGGAACCACTTGAGGACTCCAATAAGTGTTGTTCCAGGTGAACTGCATCTTTTGGAGTTGTGCAATGTGGCAAACCAATACTCCTAACCTTATATATTTCTATTTTAATGGTTCCTGTTGCATTTAATGGAAGTAGATAAGGAATGAAGTTTTCAAGTAAACAGATTCAATTAGCAAGTATATGATGAGCACCTACTATGTGCACAGCACTTTGGAGGTATAAAAAAGGTATTTGTCAATAACTCAAATATATTCTAATCTTTTGGAAGGAGAAGAACTTAAACACATGAAACAGTTACACACAGATACTTAATGAAAAATGTAAAGTACTACTGAATAATCAAGTGCTAAAATGGCTAAAACAGGTGAAAAAAGGTAGATGAAGTATGTAATTACTGAGGACCCACTACATTTCAGAGACTACAAATTGATTATTTATTGATAATTTATATCTATAAAATTCTGAGGTAGGCATTTTTATCCAAAGTTTGTAGATGAAGAAATGGATTTAACAAAGTTAAATATACTAACCAAAAGATATACAAGTAAGAAGAAAAATCTAACAGGTGAGCCTGTTTTCAACCCTATAAAGCCATTATTTTTGAACTGAGGGAAAATGAGACACAGGAGATGAGTTGCTAACTCCAAATCCCAAAGTTAGTGAAAAGAGGACCCAGGACTCAAACCTAGATTTATCTTAACAGAGCCAGAGCTCTTAATTAATGTTCAAAATTAAGCCTCAAACTTGAACTCAGGTCTTCTGCAGCGATTACTGTTGTTTTTTCCACTCTTCTACACTACCTCTCTAAGACAGAGTCTTCTGAATAGTTAGGAAGCAAAGTGATAGAATTAATATAGAATATTTCATCTTAATTTGGAGATTTGCTGTGCCACAGATGTTCTTACAGAAGTCTTTTGAAGAAAATTGTTGTGAGTACATAGTGCCAGTAGGAAATGTTGATAAGTAAAGACTATCACATACCCCTACTAGCGCTTTGCTCTTCCTAGAAAATGGGGCAAGCACTAAAGTTAATTTTCATTTAATATACAAAAGGAATTCATTGCTATCACTGGAATAATAGTTCCTCTTCCTCTAAACTATGGCTCAGATGGTAATTAGATCAAATTCATAATAATCCTGATATTTCACTGGTAGTTTCAAGGGACTCAAGAGTACAATTAACTTCACCACAAGGTTCAGGGAAAGCTTGTTCTTCATTTAACTGAATTATGTAGATATAAAACAAAGCTACTTAATCTTCAGTGTAAAAGGAAAACTTTTTAGAAAAAAGATTAAGTACACATTTAAGATATATGTATCAGAATGAATGATGATAATAATTAGCATCAAACATTTATTGATGTACCAGGCAATGTGCTAAATAATTAACATGTATTCTCTCACATAACTTTATAGTAGTCAAATGAGGTATGAAAAGTAATCTTCATTTACAAATGAGAAAACCTAGGTTTAGAAAAGTTAAGCAACTTGCCCAAGGTCCCATTGCTAGTAGCAAGAAAACCGGGAATTTAAATCAGGGAAGTTTATTTGTGCTTAAAAGACAACCTGAGAAAATTTAGTAATGGCATAAAACATATTGTCAAGACAAAAATTGGGGGGAGACTGAAGGAAAGACAAATATTTAAAATAGATTTTTATCCCTTTAGCAGGTATGTTTCAACAAAGAAAACAACAATTATTATTATTTTTTTCAATTGGAGTCTCACTCTATCACCCAGGCTGGAGTGCACTGGCCACTCCCAGTCACTGCAGCCTCCACCAGCTAGGCTCTGGCAATCCTTCCGCCTCAGCCTTCCAAGTAGTTGGAACTACAGGCGCACGCTACCACACCCAGCTACTTTCTGATGTATTGTAGAGATGTGGTCTCGCCAAGTTGCCCAGGCGGGTCTTGAACCCGTGGGCTCAGGCAATTCACTCACCTCAGCCAAAGCGCTGGGATTACAGGCTGAGCCACCGAGTCCGGCAGCAATGTTAAAGTTAGTGTGAAGCGCTGAGAAAATATGATGAACAGCATAAATGTTTAAGGTTTTGTGAGGCTTAAGATTAAAATAAAAATGAAAATAAATAAAAACCAGAAAAAGAATCAATTCATGTAGAAGTAGTTAAGGGTTGCAGATTAAATAGGATTCAAAATTGTGAGGAAAGAATAAAAACAAAGTTTAAAGATAATTATAGATATACTCCTGTGTATCAGTGGTCCAAACATTTTAATTCACAGAATGTCAAAAAGAAGACATAGGGGCTTACAAAGGGCAGAGGAGTAACATCCAAAAAAATACGTTGGCATTAGAGCCTTAAGCCCACGGCCTTAAGCTGATTTTTAAAATAGTAGATGGTGTGGTGTTCAAATGTGCATTTTCACGAGCCTTATCAAGTACAGCTTTCAAGAGCTACTGTGAAGAAGAATGTCTATCTGTCTTTGCAGCTCATCTCTTTTTAAATATGTACACATGTTAAAATTAGGAAAGTCAACGATATAGTCTTGGCTGAGAAACTACTTCTCTTCTTTTACCCTTCAATGTATTTCTGTCATGAGTGGTGGACTGGTTTAGCTCCTAGTCCTTGAAGTTTATGATTCACTATTCTGGGTGTCTAAAACTCTTTGAAAATGGACATCTACAAATGTCTTTTCAGAAGTACTCAAGGCCAGGAAATACTTTCCAGAATATGTTTTATAAGTTTTCTTCCTGGAATGATGGTTTTCTGCATCTCATTCTCTTTCTCTACAAACTGCCTTAATCTGATAAGAACACTTTACAACAAAATCATGCAATATAATGCCAGTGTCATAGATAAATGCTTTTGGGAATAAAAAATAATTCCTTAAAAATGTTTTGCTATGTTCCTAATTGATAAAGCTTCCTCTACAGGATGAGTCAGTAGGAAAAGGTCTTTATTTCTTTTCTTTTTTAAAAAAATCAACTTCTCACCTTTCAACTAGTTTCATAACTTTCTCTATTCCTCTTTCATACTTACTTTTGTCATTACCTTTGTGCTTTCTCCAGTGAGCTAAATGAATAGATATGTATTTATTTTCCCCTGTACTGTCAGGTTTTCAGAATTTAGCTCAGGATGTGTCCAAATCTTTGATATATACTCTCTGCAGTCCTTTCAGTAACATTTGGTCTTCATGTTTATCATCTAAATATCACCATAATCATTCACTAGAGAGTTAGTAAGATTTCTGATAAAACAAAAGCTTACTCATAATGAAAATGGAGCAATGAAATAAAACAAAGATCCAAAGCAATAAAGATTATAGCTCAGATAACCAGCATATATACATGTGCTAGTCTAATAAAAGGTAATAAAAGTTTTTGAATGCAAACTTCTTGTTCCTGTTCATAATGCTCCCCATACTATATTTTGTTGGTGTAGAATGATACTGTAAATGTCATGAAGGACACATTTATACTTGCCAACAAAGCAAAAAACATGAGAGAGAATGATTGCAAGAAGGGACATATATTAACACTATAAGGATTTCTGGAAGCCTGATGAACAAATAGATCCATAGGAAAGACAGAAGGTAGAAAGACAGACAAATGGAAGTTCTCAAAAGGGCTGAAGAGAATTAATTAGAAGAGCTTAATGTGATATGGAAATAGATAATTAGATAAATTATTTAAGATGGACAGTGGAATAGCTGGATAACTAAGTTATGCAATTGGTGTAAGACAGATATCTCAAACACCTAAAGAGATCTAAAGAGAGATCATAAGGAATTCGAAGAAAAAAAGAGGAATCACATCTTCCACTGTGTAAACTATAGCAGCTTCCACTCAGTAAAGAACAGGATATAAAAATAATTTATATTGTTAGTTAATTAAGCTAATATTGTCAGCGAGCCTTAGTTCTTCTGTATATCTTCTTTTGCTTTATTTCATATATTTGTACTACTGAAGAAACTTGTTTAACATATAGGGGAAAAGTCAGATAAGCTTATAAATTCCTTGAGTAACGTTTTCTTCTTATTCTTGAACTACCTGAACTCACAAAGGAGGTCAAGAAAGCAGTAAGAAGTTACTATCTTAGTGCTGAACATCTAATTGTCAACATTTTTCTTAGATGCTTTGGCTATCACATTACTGAGGTTATTGTACATTTGACCTCATCTGTTCTTTACAACTTTGATTTTAGAGACATTTTCTACTTATAGGAATATAAGAATGAGATATCTACATAAAATAGAGCATAAGAGAGACAACAGAGCTGAGAGTTGAATGTTCTGCTTCTATTTCTAGAGACATTCTCTTGGTTTCATCTATAAAATGAGTTTCAACGAGATGATCTCCATTATCTGTTCTAGAACTAAAACTCCAGAACACTACAAACACTATGATGAACTAGAACATTATGATGCCGCCAGTCCCAAAAAATTCATCTGAAAAAATAACTGTTACTTGTTGGGAGCCAGCCTTGGAGGCCCGCCTGATTGACAAAGTCCAGGTGCGCTGCACCTTCGGAGTACCCTAGACCCGGCAGGAGCTGGACTCCGGCAGTTAGTGCTGCAAATATCTAGGGTTTGAATTAGAGAAGTATCTTACAGTTGACCCAAAGTAGAAAGAATATTTCCTTTAGTATATATGTTTTCCCTTTCATATTATTTGTCTAATTAGTACATTTTAAGCCTGAAATCTGTTCATTATTGAACAGTTCATATTAAGGGGCTCAAACTATAGCAGTATACTCAAAATCACCAGGATACCATGCACATATTTATCTTTCCATTTGTCTGTACAAGTCTTCAGGTTTTCTGTCCATGAAATACATCCTATCCCCCTTCAGGAATCATCACCACACTGTTTTCCATAGAAGTTGAACTAGTTTGCACTCCCACCAATAGTATAGAAGTATTCCCTTTTCTCCATATCCTAACCAGCATCTGTAGGCAATCCAGCAATCCCTCTTCTGGGAATATACTTAGAGGAACTCAAGTCATTCTGCAAAAAAGATACCTGCACACACATGTTTACTGCAGCATTATTCACAATAGCAAAAACATGGAACCAACTGTGCTGCCTATCAAAACTAGACTGGAAAAAAAAAACAATGTGACACATATATATGATGGAATATTACGCAGCCATAAAGAAGGACAAAACTATGGACTTTGAAGCAACTTGGATGGATTTGGAGTGTATCATACTCAGTGATCTATCACAGAAACAAAGAACTCTGAGTATCACATAGTCTTACTCATAAGTGGACCCTGAACACCTGTCAGAATACTGCAAGAAAGGGATTGGCAGTAGCGGGACACTGCCAGGAGGGGGGACAAATAAAATCAACAAGGGTGCCTGATCCTAATCCAGGTGAAGTGAGGGCCAATAGGAGGCCCAAACTTCATCTGTGCCTAGACCACTTATATACCCAATCCTGACTTGTTCCCCACATCTTTAAATTTAAAAAATATCAAAATTAGAAAAAGTATCCTTAAGAAGCAAAAAATAAAATAAAATAAAATAAAAAATAAATCTCAGCCCCCTTTGTCTTCTTTGTCTAAATGCTGCCATGAATTTTAGCCTAATTCAAGCTTCTTCTGGAGTCTTCCTGTCTCACTCAAACCCACAGTGATCTTTCCACCTGTAAATTATTTCCCTATGACAGATATGCCATTTAGCTTGTGATATTTTACATTTTTATTCCCTGCTATAGGCACTGTTTCAAGGATGTACTTTTCCTCTCCAAACAGATTAAAAGTATTTCATAGCAAGCATCCTGGCATGTATATAAAGAATTTACTTAATAACTAAAAGAAATAAACTGAAACAGATAGGCAACTGTAAAGTCGTATGGCACCTAGTTGCCTAAGACTGTTCACAAAACAGTTATATCAGAATGACCTGGGTAACTGATATTCAACTGATTGTTAAGACCCATTCTTGGAGAGTCTGACTCAGTTGGATATGTTATAAGAATAAAAAGTCAGACTTTAGGAATATCTCAGAATGTCAAGGTCTTGCACACCTCTTTTCCAAACACAGATGAGCTGAATTAAATACTACCCTGTTCTAACTTATTTGGTGCTTTTATTTTTTATAGGGCTCTGTCATTGTATTTGGCTTCGCTTGGATATGCCTAAGAAACAGATGCTTAATTTTCACTCAGCAGAGTCTTTCTTTAAATAGCACCAACAAAATTAAACACTTGACATGTAAAGATTATACTGATGAATAGAAAGTCTGTGGTAAAGAAGATACCTTCAAGGAATCCAGTGAGTGGACCATGATGTATGAGGTAGACAGGCATCACAGTTCTATTTAACTTGGGTGCCCCATACTGGATACTGAAAAATTTAACCAATCATGACCTTTCTCTCTAAGAAAGTTCACAAACCACATGTAGAGAGTAAGACTAGTAGCATGGGTAGGAGCCAAAGACACAGAGAGGATCCAATGAGATGAAGAGGAGGAGAGTACAAAGAAATTATTCAATAGTAACAGTGGTAGGAGAATTTGAGACAATAGATAAATAATTGAGTTACTTCTGGAGCATGGGATGAGAGCAGTCAATTTATGTTGTTGAATGACCTATTTTCTGAACCTTTTCCAACATCTGTGAGATCTAATTGTGTGGCAACTAGGATTTTAACTGTCTTACTTGCTTCTCCATATATCTTTATAATAAGCCTATTATCTAAAATAGCGTGATGGCCTCTTGGTTACCTGAATCTAAAACTGCCTACCAGGACAGCTAAGCTTTATCTATCTTGCTTAAATCAATCTGGTAAACACACATACAACATAACAAATGGCAGAGCACTCTGAAGAGCTGTCACAGCAGCCAGAAGCCTGCCTTCCATTTCTCTACACTGAGCTAGCATACCCGATTTCCCAAGTGCTTTGATAGGCTCTCTTCTGATTCTGTTTCTTGGCAGCTCCTTCCTATGGATTTCATCTAATCTATGTCAAATTTCATATTCACAAACCACTCTTAGGTGTAAATTTCATCTCTGACTACTTCATCTACATCTCCAGCCTTGAGAAGTCTGCTGAAGGCAAACTCATCCCTTGGAAGCCTTGACAAGGGTGTGGGACTAGGTACACAATAAGAATACTCAAATGCCACATTCTTCCAGAAATAAGTAGGCATGTATGCTGGTTCAGGTATGCTTACTAAGTATATCTAGAGTTAGGCCAAGGATATGTATTTTGCAAAGTTTTACAGGGGTAACTTATATGTTCAATCCTAGCACTGGAAATTTATTGTACCAATTGACAACTTCTCCTAGGGAAAAAGTACAAACTTAAAAACACGCAATATCATAATGAACATAGTGCTGTCAAATTTAACATTATTATAAGGAACTAGTCAAACTTTAATTTTTCTATACATTTTAGTCATTATATTGTTGTGTCAGAGAACAATCTAGATAGGGAGTGATATCCTAGGTATGATTATGTGCTGTGATATACAAGAAAAGTTGGAATCCGTCCTCTACTTTTCATTACTTTCTGTCAACTAAATAGGGTCTAAGAAGTTCATGACATCCCATACCATAATTCATCTTTTTGTATAAATAAATATAAATCTTTTTGTATAAGTAAAACCTTTCCTTAACATATTTTAAGTACTATAGATTGAAATGAAGTGACTTTTAGCGTTCTCAGCATCCTAGATAAGATGTACAATGCAGAGTATTTCTATTAATTTACAGATTCCATTAGAGAGTATGTATGTCAAACTGAAAAAAATCATACAAAACCATGAATCTTAGGGTGGGGAGAAGAAACAATAACTTCATATTATTTTTTTAGTATTACTTAATGTTAGATTTGATTAATTTCATTTCACATCCTCAAAACTAATTTGACTAGCTATCTAATGTCAATAATAAAATGAAGAAACTTGAAATTTTGCTTGCCTTTCTCATAACTCTTTTTGTCCACTCTTTTTAAAAATTTATTTATACTGCATGCAGGATTTAAGCCAGCTGATCCCACAACTCAGATCTGATGCCCATATTTCTTCCATTCCCCCAGTATATTTATTTTGAATGGGTGTTGGGAAGAAGAGAATTGAAGACGTGTCTTTGGCCATATGAGAAAATAGAGGTGGGGTTTAGGAGTCTTATTCTTCCATTATAATCCCATAATCAGATCTTTCTTTTATGGGATTAGTTTTGTCCCCCAGATAAAGCTATATACTCTCAAAATGTCCACTGGTTACACATGGAAGGGATGTATGGTATCATGAGCTTTTATTTTCCATCAACAGAGTTCTACTACCTCAGTAGTGTCTTCAAAATCCCTGAGAAATAAAATACAGGACTTTTACCCCTTCATAGAGAAAGATGGGCTAAACTAAAAGACTCCCTAGAGACGGAGAAAATAACATAGTTATTTAAGAAAAGTTGACAGAGGAATATGCTCAAGAAGTGAATGTACAAGTATGCCTAAATCGTAAACCCGATCAACCATAATTTGGCATATCTACTTAGGGTTCTTTAGAGAAAGTGTAGTTTAGTAATAATAACGTGGTCTAAGAATGAATTTTCAACATCTTTCTGATTATGTTGATGAATACTAATTCTAAGAATGATGATATCTAGTGACCAATGATAATTTTATCATTTATTTTTTTCCTTTAAAATGGGCTTTTCTTATACTGAAAAGTTAATTTTACTGCAGAATCACAAAGATAATATAAGTTTATTAGACACTGAACAGTAGATTATTTGAGAAAACAATCTTGCAAATTAAGTCAAAATTGTGATGACTAGACAAACCGAGAAAGAAAAAAATTTTGATGAAGTCCATAAAACTAAAAACTCATTTTGTTAATGTATATGTACATATATAATAGTGTACATGCATGCCTAAAATGAAACTGTACCCTGCTTCGGCAACAAGAACTATGCCTTGTATCTTCTTTATATAGTCTACTATGCTGAACACATGGCAGGTGCTCAAAACTCACTTAACTGAATTTTAAAATCTCATAGCAAATGAGCTAGCTACTTCATATTAATCCTTAATTATAAATTACTATTGCAATTCTATTTATTCTATAAGTTAGAAACATTCAAATTAGTATAAAAATATTACCTATAAGGATAGCCATGGTACTTGGAACGAAATATTGAAAGTAGAAAACTGAAGAAGAAGACCACCAGGCCTAATCCAACTAGGCAAATTACTAGAAAGAGACAGAAAATACCATTAGTGTCTAGAAACGTGACAACTCAAATGTTTAACTTGCAAAATGCATTCAATTACTGTATACATATGTTTAATAGTTTATGACACATACAGGTACAACAAACCAGATAATCTCCAATACTAGGTATTCACTATTATCCACATTCTTTTCAATGACAGTGTACTATTTTGTATGTGACAACAACAAAATTGACTGATCTAAGTATCCTGGTGGTTTTCTTTTCTTACAGAGTTTCCACAAATACTAAAATGCCCCAGAGGGACCAAAACAATATAAAATATGCGATAAACCACAAACAAGGTTATCAGTCTCTGCATTATGAAACATTGGCTACATTTGTAGGGACATTTACATCATTAGAACACCAAATATAATTCCTTTCCAATGCCATGCAATATTTTACAAACAAATATACTTTAAGGTTCTTGGCTAGATTATTGCCTCAGTAAAAAGCATGTTACTTAGAAATAGTTGATCCTAGTGTATAGAAGGCTAGGAATAAAAAAGTTAAAGAGTAAGAAAATATGCTTTCAGTGACAGCCAAAGGAGAGAAAACTCCCCTCAACAGCAAGTAATAGCATAAAGTATTGTTGTTATTGTTTGTTTTACAAATAACCAAAAGGCATATGTTACAGTAGAATGCAATGTGGTCATTATTATTACTCTGTCCAAGAAACGTTGACAATAGACTTTTTTTAGTTTCCTTTTTTTGTCTTGTTTTGAGTTAGAGTCGCACTCTGTTGCTCAGGCTGGAGTGCAGTAGCATACTCACAGCCACCCCAAAGTCGACCTGCTGGGCTCTTTGAATCCTTCCGCCTCCACGTAGCCAGAACTACAGGCACACACTACCACGCCGGGCTAATTTTTTTTTAAATTTATTGTAGAGATGAGGTCTTGTCAAGTTGCCTGGGCTGGTCTCAAACCCACATGCTCGGCAATTCACTTGCCTCAGCCTTCCAAAGTGCTGGGATTACAGGTTGAGCCACGGAGCCCAGCCTAGTTTCCTTTTTATATGACTGTGGGCGTTTTACTCTAGAGCAGATGAGTAATAAATGTATTGGGTTTATTTTGATATTATTTTGGGTATGTAATTTTAAAAGATTCATTGCTATTGTTATTAAAATAAAGCTAAGCATGCTTATAAAATTTAAATGCTTAAAATTAGAAATAGAACATTTGCCCAATACTTAACATCCTTTCATTAGTTTCAGGGAATTCTAAAAAGTACTTTAAAGTTATCTGAAAAAATTCTTTATAATAGAGAGAAGTCAAGAGAAAAAAGATTAAAGACACTGAAGTGGAAGAAAATGAAGAAAATTAAGCAGATTCATATGCTTCTATAATAATGAAATATGGTTTAAAATTTTTTTCTAACATATAAATAAAAGCAGGTTTAATTACAATCCTAGAAATCAGGAAGTAGATAATGTATGGCATTGTCAAAATATGGTTTTCCAATCTGTCAGTCAGTTTTTATTCAACTCTGCTGGAGTATCATTCTCTAAGTTTTGAGTATAAACTGTGAAACATCACAAGCGTTTACTAGCATCCAATTCAGCTTCTGTGACATTTCATTTCAAACAACATTCATGCAGTTGAACTTCAAATAAATATTGGCAGAAAACAAAGGTAAAAAATGGGTTTCTAAATATGACAAATTGAAAAACTCCTTTAAAAAAAGTTATAGAATATACAAGTATGACAGACACCAGGCCCTAGGTACAGCATATTAATAACTTTGCTTATAATAATCATATTAAACCTAGAATTACACAATGGTTTCCATTATACCTTCTCAAATCTGATACTTCCTTTTCTGCTTTTAGTAACCACATTGGGTTGCTCTCCATAGGGAATGAGGCTCAAAATACGCGATCAAGTAAAGCAATATATTTTCTTGATTCTATAAGTGGAACAAAATAATGTCTCTGTACTTCTATATGAGGAAGAGAGAGGGACTGAGTGTAGCAAAGGGTTAGTAATTAAAATAAACCATGGCACCTCGTATGAGATAGCATACGTATAAAAAAATTCCATGATGAGATGGAAGTATGCTGACCTGGACAATATTAATAACCATAGTAGTTGGGCCAAATAAAAAACAGAAATCACATTAGAATCAAAGAGAAGTAATTTTAAAATATATTTCCCAATTCTCTTACTCTCACACTCTCTCACAAACACACACTCACATACACATGAATAAATAATTTGGGGGTGAAGCTGGGCTCGGTGGCTCAGCCTGTAATCCCGCGCCTTGGGAGGCTGAGGTGAGTGGACTGCCTGAGCCCGCGGGTTCGAGACCCGCCTGGGCAACTTGGCGAGACCTCATCTCTATAATAAATCAAAAAATCAGCCGGGCGTGGTAGCGTGTGTCTGTAGTTCCAGCTACTTGGAAGGCTGAGGTGGAAGGATCGCCGGAGCCCAGTGGGTCGAGGCTGCGGTGGCCGGGAGCGGCCACTGCACTCCAGTCTGGGCAATGGAGCGAGACGCCAACTCCAAAAAAAAAAAATTGGGGGGTTGAATGGAAGTTGAAGTTATTAAAGAAATATCTACCAAGAGCAAGTTGGAAGTAGTGATTTTATAATTCAATATCCTAGATGCCAGATTAAAAATTTCTTACTATTACCATTACTTACCTTAATATGACAGGATATACGATAAATATATAATAACATTAAGAGTGTGTCCTCATAAGCATGTTTGTCAATTCCAAGAAAATAACAGTTTATTCAAAAGATATATCATAAAATGATATTCAACAATGCTTAAGTAAAAATAGTAATGCACTCATTTCTTCTGTAGTCTCTTTACATAGCATTGTAGATAGCATCATTGAAAACTAAAAGGCAGTCTAAATTGTATAGCACATCCAAAATTTGACTTCTAAGTAGTCACAAATCACTATGAATTATTTATATATATGTTACACTAGCTAAATATTCAATACAGAAAGTAAGTCTATGTTTTCATTTTAAATATCTTAATAAATTACTTCTTTTTTCAGACACTTAAGCTCCTCACATATAAATTCTGGGTTTTAAAAAATTCAGATATGCAAAACGTAGTGAAAAGAAATGTTAATTATAGGTGTGTGGAGGTATAATCATAGACTTATATAAGGATTTGATATTAATTATTAAAAGGGCTGTAGCAGGGAACTGACTCTAAGCTCCTTTTTCCCCTTCTTGATCTATGCTCCTCAGGGCAGATTTTTCTCTATTAGTTCTTCTCTTTTTGTCATGTTAGAAAACTACATTTTTCTCCCCTATAGTTCTCTGAAAGCAATAGTCCCATCAAAGTATAAAACACAATTAACTTGCTTACAAAAATAACACTGGAACTTGGAGTTGTAAATCTTGGTATAACAATAGAAAAGGCAAAGTCCTAGAAAAAGACAGTATCAAGAGATGACTCCTTTCAAAATGCTAATAAAAGAAAGTTTGTAGGTAATTGGAAGATACTGTAATATTTCAGTGTACAAAACTTATGAAGAAGCTTCTTCATCTGACTTGGACTTTGAGTGCATACCAGACTCTTGTGGCATAAGGAACATATTATATGCCAACAAAGTCTCATAAGCCTTTGTAGGTGGGGATTACAACAAAGACCATGGCTTCTGCAGAAATGGATCACAGCAACCCTGACAAGAGTGAATGACCACTCTTCTCATATGCTATTCCATAGAAAATCACCCAATCCCATTTTGGACAAAAATATATTTTCAAGTATGTACACACACACCCCCCAGAAACAGAAAAAAAGTTACAAAAAATCTTAACCTTCTTTAAAAATTTATTTAAAGTTTATGTTTACAAAGGGCTTTTATATATCTCCCATTTGATTTAATGAATCTTAAGACTACAGTAAAATTACAAAAATACCAACACAGAGACTTACTCCGTCTTTTTCCAACATCTCCTTTGGAAGTTGCTGCCTCATTTAGAAGAACCATCCCCATGGTGATAGCAGCATCTGCAATAGTTGTCAAGGAAACCACAGAAATAGGTGCAAATAAAATTTATTAATTTTTCTGGATCTGAACGCAATGTTCCAAAATGGTTCCATTATAAAAGCACACAGTGGTAAATACAATTGATTCTTTTTATACAACATAAAATTACCATTCTTTGTGCAAATATATTTTAATTTTTAAAACTTTAACCTAGCCGGGCTCGGTGGCTCAGCCTGTAATCCCGCGCCTTTGGGAGGCTGAGGTGAGTGGATTGCCTGAGCCCGCGGGTTCGAGACCCGCCTGGGCAGCGAGACCTCATCTCTACAATAAATCAAAAAATCAGCTGGGCGTGGTAGCGCATGCCTGTAATTCCAGCTACTTGGAAGGCTGAGGCGGAAGGATCGCCGGAGCCCAGCAGGCGAGATTGTGGTGGCCGGGAGCGGCCACTGCACTCCAGTCTGGGCGACAGAGTGAGACTCCAACTCACAAAAAAAAAAAAAAAAAAAAAAAAAAACTTTAACCTGAAACTTCAATTTGTGAGACTTAAGAGGCTAATTCTAAATACTCTTAAATTCCAGAACTTTCATAGTGCATAAAAATTATATGAACTTTCAGAACAAGTTATACATTATACATAAAGATATGTACTACTTATAGTTACAGTAGACACATTTCATTGGCAATCATAGAATATTTGAATGCATTCAGCATGATTTTTTTTTTCATTTTCACTGTGTGTGTGTGTGTGTGTGTGTGTGTGTGTGTGGTGTACAAAGCTTTCTTTTTCTTGACTTCCAAATGTGTTGTTTCGTAATTATTTTGTTTAGTTAATAAAACCTTTATTAAGGTCAGGTGTATCAAGCAGAAATTGTGAGGTATCCAATTACAAGCCTTATAAAAGCAAACACATTATAATAAAACAATTTAACAAATTTAGCAGGATTTTGAGCTAGCCATTTAATTGTTTGACATTTTAAGAATGAAAACACAATTGCTTTTGTATTTAATGTCTGCTTGAAATAGGATGGATATATTCAAGCCCTGCTGAAAGATGTCAAAGATTTAAAAAAAATGATGGGAGCTTTTATCCTTTATAAAATATTCCTTGTCATGCTATTCAAATATTTTTGACGTTGTCTACTCTTAAGATTTTTCAGCTCATCAATTCTGGAAATATATTATGCAATATGCCCAAATTACTAGTGAATTAAAAAAATGAAGAGAAAAAAATTCTAGTCCCCAAATTACTCAATTTGCTTAATTTTATTATAATTTTTTTGTGTTCAATTTTACAGTGATGTATAACAGCATTACTAAGTCTCCTGTGCAGGATGTCTCTTGGTGCTTTTATTCCTAATAGCGAAGCTCAGAGAATATTGTTGGGTTATGTCTGTACGATTAAGTGGAGGAGGTCAAAGAAAATCCTTCACAGTGAATATTTCCACTCTAAATTTGTTTTCATAACCATATTATTTAACTTCCCATTATTATTATTATTATTTTATTATTATTTTATTTATTTATTTTTTTGAGTTGGAGTCTCACTCTGTCGCACAGACTGGAGTGCAGTGGCCGCTCCCGGCCACCGCAGCCTTCACCTGCTGGGCGCCGGTGATCCTCCCGCCTCAGCCTTCCAAGTAGCTGGAACTACGGGCGCACGCTACCATGCCCGGCTAATTTCTGATTTATGGTAGAGATGAGGTCTCGCCAAGTTGCCCAGGTTGGTCTCGAACCCGTGGGCTTGGGCAATCCACTCACCTCAGCCTCCCAAAGGCTCAGGATTACAGGCTGAGCCACCGAACCCGGCTGAACTTCTCATTATTAATAATTATAATATTTATATTTGAGAATTAGTTTCCATGATTTATTATCTAACATCTGGAAAATAAACGCCTGACTTCTCTAGTTAGGCATTTACATTTATACTGACTTCTATATACAAATGGTTTTCAAACTATTCTGCTTATTTTTAGCATTGAAACCCTTTTCTGGAAAATCACAAAACACAGAAACAAAAACCCTTATTTAGAAGCTTAATGTGTATGAGAGATCAAGTTCTTACCAGCCCTATGCAATGTCGACCAGCCCTACCACACACACACACCCACACCATTTACTTGCTACTTTTAGAGATCCATGACACAATTTGAAAAACACAGAAAGTTAGGTAATTACTAAATTCCTGGGTTTCAATCATATAGCAATGGCCTGAAAAGGACATTGTAAGATAATGACTTTTGTAGTATTATGTTATTACGTCTATAGATTTTTAATAATCATTATTATTAAAGTATTTTAGACAATCTACTTGCATAAATTACCCCAAGCTCATAGACACAGAACACTGTTAATAACAAAATGATGAGAAAAATGAATTAGGAGCTTGCTTCACTAAAACTGGTTATATGTAGGGTTGTTCTACTGCTTAATTCTGTTTTTCTGAGCAGACAGATGTGACTGATGTAGGTTCTTAACAAGGAGTGACTAGGTTTCCTCTTTAATCTTTTTTCTGCAACACTCATCTATATTCGTGTATAAATTTTAGTCTACATATTTAAATATACATATTTGATTTACTGAGTTTTCAAATAAAATTCTAGATTATTTTAGCTAAGACAAATTTTTAAAAATAAATTATCAAGATATTAATGGCATTTAAAAATAAATTTATGTAGATATTAAGAAAACATATTTACTTTATGATTCTATGTAAGTAGCTTCCTCACTTCCATTAATAAATTGTGGGGAAAATGGAACTATTTCTATTACTGAGTAAAGCTTACAAAAACTAAATGCTTGACAATTTTAATGGGGGTAAAGCTATACACTAAAATATTCTCAGTCAGGCTCAGTGGCTCAGCCTGTAATCCCGTGCTTTGGGAGGCTGAGATGAGTGGATTGCCTGAGCCTGCAGGTTAGAGACCCGCCTGGGCAACTTGGCGAGACCTCATCTCTACAATAAATCAAAAAATTAGCCGGGTGTGGTAGCGTGTGCCTGTAGTTCCAGCTACTTGGAAGGCTGAGGCAGAAGGATCGCTGGAGCCTAGCGGCTCGAGGTTGTGGTGGCCGGGAGCAGCCACTGCACTCTGGGTGACAGAGTGAGACTCCAACTCAAAAAAAATATATATATATATATTCTCAGTGTAAAATTTTACATGTATAAACACATATGTGCACAAATATATGTATCTTCTTATAAATATACAAAGACATGATCTCAGATAAAAGTTTATTATTCAAAAATATATTTTGTTGGACATTAACTATGATCACCCAAGGGTAATATATTCCTATTAGTGCATCTTCATATCTTGTTTACTCTTCTCCCTCTGAATCGTTACATTACAATGTTGAAAACTATGTGAGTAAAACATTTCTCATTTGAATTGCTTTTAAATTTCACACAAATTCAATGTAATGACAGAAAATTATGTATATGATTTTCACAAGTGTATCACATTCTATTGCTGTTTCTTATTGATGACATTTAAGTTGCTTCCAAATGTTTGCTATTACAAATTTTCCTGCAAATAATATCTTTGTATAGTTCTCCCAGTGTACGTGTGTGACACAATGTCTAGGGTCTACAACTAGGAGTAGAATTTTTGAGAATTTTAAGATTGGGTATGTGTATTTTCAATCTTGTTGGGTATAATCATTTTGTTCTTTAAGCAATGTAAGTTTTCATTTTTCTCACACTTCACTAACACAATATTGACAGACTATTATTTTTTTCACTGATAACAGTTGTATTAATAGCTTCCAGTTGATTCTGGGCATCTTTTGATATGTCATTCCTTTTGTTATTCTTTTGTATACTACTTATTTTTTTCCTCATTCCATAAGAATACTTGTTTTTGCTTATTAATCTCTAGACATTTTTCTTTCTTTGTAAATATAAACTGAAGCCGTATAGATTCTTCTACTTTATGTCTTGCCTTTAAAAATATTTTGTCATGTAGAAGGCTTAAATTTTAATGTGGCCAAATTTACTAATAATTTTCTCTATGAGTTTTGGTTATTGTTTCTTGATTTTGAAATTAATTCCTACCCCCAGGTCTTAAAACATTCTCTAGTCTTTTTTTCTAATAGCATTAAAGTCAGTCAGGTAACATCACTCTTCTGCCCACAACTTTCTAAATAGCTTCCCTTCTCACTCTGAGTAAAAAATCTAAACACCTCAAAACGGCCCAAGGTCATACATGATTTGCTCCCTGACCTCACTCTTCTGCTCCTCCTGTTTTTTTTTCTCTTATTCTTGTCCTAGCTATTCTTCCAATAATTAAGGCATCGCTCTGTTTCTGTATTTTTGACCTTGTTATACCCACTGGTTAAGTGATCTTCCCACAGATGTTCATTTAACTCCTCCCTCACTTCCATCAGAGATCTTATCAGAGAAACCTTCTTATACTGCCCTATTTCCTTTATCATGCTTTGTTTTTCTCTACAATGCTTTTTAAAGAAATTTCATATTGTATATAGTTTTTAGTTACTTACTGTCTTTATCCTGTCACTACAATGTTAGCTCAAAAGGGCAGGAACTTTGTTTTGTTCACTGTCTCACCAAGTACCCACAAATCTTTGATGTACAGACTATCATCTTTTGCTTACAAATAAGGAAAATGAAGCTCAGAAAGGTTGGAATAACTTGTTCAAAGTCACAAAACTAGGAAGTTAAACATGCAAACTAAAAAGAGTATAAAAGAGACGAAATTAGGGAGATACCAGGATTACATAAAATGAGAGTGTAGAAAAGAAAAAAAAAACAGCTAGATTTTAGCATAAAATGTCTTTCTGAAAAGACATTTGTTGTAGAGCACAGAATATTAAAAAATGTTTTACTTCTTGAATAACATTCATATTACAGATTTTACAGTAAAGCAAGACATAAAACACCAAAAAAGCCAATACATACAAAAATGTTTATATTATATAATTTTATAATTATATATGTAGTATATATATATATAATTATATATTTATTTATTTATTTTTTGAGCTGGAGTCTCAGTCTGTCGCC